ATTATTATTATTATTATTATTATTATTATTATTATTATTATTATTATTATTATTATTATTATTATTATTATTATTATTATTATTATTATTATTATCATCACTATTATTATTATTATTATTGTTACTGATGGAGAATAGTGATAAAACATATCAGTATCGTATTTTCAGATAGGGTTTGAAGAAAGATATTTGATCGACAATTACTTCTCATACTGATTGCGCAATTTGTTTTCAGCTAATATCATCAATGAGTTTAAATTAATTTATAAAAATAGGAGGAGATACGAAGGATTAAAATGGAAAATCTAAATGATATGAATGGAACAGAATATTTTACAGCAAATTTTTTGTAATTTCCTTATAATTTCAGAACAATTTTGATTGGAAAATTAGCATTATATGGGATAAATTTAGCAATTATTAACAATTTATCACTACTGTTATCATATTATAAAAGTTTCTAAATTGTCATGCATATCATTGATTTTATTGATATAACCTTAACCTTAATTAGAATGTTCATCTGATATTAGCAATTAATCCTACTGAATTATCTGATAGAATTAATTGCTAATAATCAGATAGATGATATGTACTTTATACTGATATTTTAGAGGGTTTTTTACCTCATCTATGAAATTTTAAAAGTTTAAAATATTATTAGTTAGCAAAGATATCATAAAATCCTATGCTATCTTCTCCAATAATAGTATCTGATTAATAATCATAGCTTTCCTGTATTATTCATCATCATTATCATCAATACTACTTTCTGCTGTAATCCTTTTTTTCTTTTTCTTTTTTTTTCAGAATTAAAGTATTATAATATACTTCATGATAGAGAGATTGCAGAAAAGGTAACAATGGTAGGATATGTCACTGTTTCTATTTTTTAGCTGTTCACCCTCTTTTTCGAGTCGTACTGTAACTGTCTGTCACTAGAATGATGAAAAGAGAAGAGAAATCTGTAGACTGATGTGTCATTTTCATACTGTCACGAAAATCTTTATTGATGGAATATTAGTTAGCTGCTAAGAAATCCAAGACAATTCATTTGTTTGTATTAAACGAAGTTGAAAGACGTTAAAATATAAAAGCTTGAAAAGTAACGATCTTGAGACATTCCCATGTCACAAAACTGTCACTTTTCAGGCTTCTGCTTGAGACATTCTCATTTCTGAAAATCGCTTTATTTTGTTTATTTTGTTTGGAAGAATTGTGAATTTCAAGTTATTCTATAACATGATGGAATAAGTGTGAAAAGGATATTTCCATGGATTCGAGATTCCATTTTGTACACCAAAGCTTGAGTTAATCTAAAATTCGAAGCTTTCTCAGACAAAATTATTGCCAATTTCTGCATTGTCATTAACTGTACACTACAATCTTATAAGATAATTGAAGAAATTGGAAAAATTTAAAAAGTCGCAGGTTCAATTAATTCAAATATCTTTAAAGCTTAAAGTATTTCGTCTAAAATTTTTGAAAATCTCCAACTTTTTTGGATATACCAAGAAATTTATGCTTTTTAATTTCATAGTCATGGATCAACAAAACTAATTTAGCAACTTTTCCGGACAATTGATAAATCAATAATTTCGTACTTTTTCAAGTATCCAATCTACAAAACTAGTTTTTTTTAATTTGAAAATTTTTCAAGATTTAGTTGATAGTTTGCTAGCTAATGGAATGATTTAATTTTGGCAAATAACAAAGGGAAAGGGAAAGGGAAATTTTTGGGGAAGGGATAAAGAATGAGATAGAAAATTAGGATAATTTATGATCAAGGAGTAGGTCGTTAGATGTTAAGGAATCGATTATTGAAAGGCAAAGATTCAGAAAAACAGAAAATATGACGGTCATTGATACGATACCAGGTGAACTATCCCCGAATGTCGATAAACTTCCAGTAAAAAAAATTCCTCAGAAGTTGCTTGAACTCAGACTGTAAAAAAAAAATAATAGTAACAGCAATATAACAAAAGCGATACTTTCGCAGCGATTCCCTTCTTACTGTATTAGTCTAACCACAGTGTTTGTTGTTCACGTGGACTGTCACTTGCGTGTGTCGTTCACGTGTATTGTGTAAGGTATGCTTGATGTGCATTCGTTCATTGCAAGTTTGTTTTACTACGAAAACTCTCTTATCTTTACGGACAACTCCCACAAATCTATTAATATTTTAAAAAAAAAGCAATGATCTGTGATCATGTTTCTTTGTTCGTGCTAACTTAACATTATTACCCATTTCGTTTAATACTTGTTTATTGTTATACAGCAATCACTTTTTTTTAAAATATATCTTTAATTACTTGGGATCTTTGCTTCATCTTTCTTTAATAAATGGAAAATTTTAGATAGCTAATGTGATATCCGTATATATATGTACATATATATATATATATGCATATATATACATATATATGTATATATACATATGCATATATGTATATATATATATATATATATAT